GTTTGAAAAATATTGCATGGAAGACTCCAAAGAGTGTTTCTGAGAGAAGATAGTTGTCACCATCTAGGGCATTAAATTGACCCGGGAATCAAAAGGTTATAACTCCCCCGTCAACTCCAATCTATTGGTAGTGTTTCCTTGGAACACCTTTATTGGGAAGGATTCTGGGACTTGTGTTTAGTGATTAGCAATGTGTTCTAATGCTGGGGGAGGGGGCACATGGCAGTTTGCTGTCATGATTCATTGTAGATTAATATGGGAATATGTCTAAATCTTTATTCAATACATTTTTCAGATTGTTCAACCTCTCAATCAGTTTTAATATGTTTGCTATATGCTTTCAAAGCCATAGTTGCCCTTACATCTCTGCCTCCATGATTCAAGGGGTATCAGCTAATATGTTTACCATAAAGGAACCCTTGAAGATTTTATAATAACGATCATCCCAGTCCATTCAGTCTATTCTTAATCCCTACAAGATACATAGGTGAAGAGGAAATGAAAAAGGTACTGAATTCCATTTGAAAATTTTTAATAGTTTATTCTACAAGGAATAGGATGGTATTTAAACAAGAGAACAGCAGAACAAATATACTAATAGAAAAATAAATGGTAGAAATACAAATGAAAAATTGGAGTGAGTGAGGCTGGGGGCAAGAATATTTAGGATAATAATTGAACAGTTCAAAAGAGAGACAAAGGGGACCAAACAGGCTTAGGACAAAGAAAGCAAAGAGGTGGGGAGAAATTTAAGAGATATTTCTGAGGTAGACTCAACTGAACTCTAGTAACAGATTACATGTAGGGAACAATGGGAGTAAATGATTAATGCAAGAGTCTTTGCTTAACCAACTAGGTAGGTATATTATTAACTATTAAATGGGGAAGGCAGGAAGAGGAATTGTTTTGGGGACAGACGTCAGTGATGATGCTGATCATTTGCTTGTTTGCTCTTGGGTCTACTGTGCCCTTCCCCTGCATTCCTCAGGTCAGCATCACAAAGAGCTACATTACCCAGGCTCCCTAGTTTCCAGGCAGGTTTGGGCAATGGCAGATGCTGGTGGAAGACAGGAGGTTGGAAGGTAGGGAGAAGTCAGGGTATTTCTTCCTCTCGCACTTTGCCTCAGAAAACATTTCTCATGGTGACCAGATTTTTTCTAACATTTCAGCTCCCATCAGACAAGCTTTCTGTCCTTGGTTCCAACTTCCTCAGTGGTCATAGCTCTGCCTCAGCTGTAGTTCTAGCGCTAGCCAGGTGGCTTTGCCTTCTGGATTCTGGAAACTCCACTTCCTCCTGTTATCCCTCTTGCCCTAGGGACGATAGCGGCTTCCTACTGTTGCTAATATCTGGGCTGTCTTGCTTCTTGTCTCATTTATCACCTGTGTAACCAATTCCCAGTGTTCAATTCCCTGATAAATTCTGGACTGGATCCTGACTGATACAGTAATACATTCAATTTTAGACACATTGAGCTTGAGATAAGTGTGGGGCTCCCTGGTCAGGATATTTAATAGAGGCTTGGAAATAGTTACCAAAGACCAAGAGACAGATAGATATGAGTGTGGAAGTCAACAACACGGCAGGTGGAATTTGAAAACATAAGGTTAGATTTCTCAGGTGGAATGAGATGAGAGATTAAACAAAAAAGATTAAATAGTAGGCTAACCCCTGAAATGTCAAAGTTCTTAGGCCAAGAAAGAACTTGAAGAGAAGACTGAAAAGAGTCACCAGAGAAGTAGAAAACCCAGGTTAGGAATGTCACAGAAGTAAAATGAGTAATGAATTTTCTAAAGGAAAGCGAACAAGTGAGTTAAACTTGGTGGAAATACCAGATAGGACACATACAAAAGGATCCAGGCAAATAAGACAAACATTTTCCTTGTATTTAGCAAGAGGAATGTTATTGCTACTTTTGTCAGAACAATTACAATGCAGCGGGGAGGGAGAAACAAGATTGTGTTGAGTTAAGACATATATGAAAATGGGAGAAGCCATCAATGAATGTAAATTACTTTTTCAAGAAATTGGACAATGAAGACCTTGAAAGAAAGACTACCTTAAGTCAGAGGGAGAGGGAGTGCTAAAGAAATGAAAGGAGTGGCTACTGAAAATCCCACAAAAGTAAGAGGAATAGGATCAAATGTATAAGTGGAATGGTTATCCCTCCTGGAAGAAAAGGGAAGATGATGAGGTTGATCAAGCTATAGAAACATTTACAAGATTACTAACTCTGCCTTTTCTAACTTGATATTATCAAGTAGTATCCACTATGCACAAACTTCTCTAAAATGAATGGAAGTATCATTCACTTTTCTCTCTCCTACACACAGCTCCTCTTTAAAGCAAGCAAAAAAAAAAAAATGAAGTTGGAGCAGTCACACATCACCTTTATATGAATCACATGCTTGAGGCTGTTTTCCCCAAATGTCTCTAGCAAAACATAAAAATCATGTTTATAATAACTGATATTAACGTCTTGAAAAAGAACAAAAACATAGTCATAAAATTGGCTTTTCCTGAGTGATCTGTCAATTTTTTTGTGAAGAGGATATTCAATATTTATTCTCTTAGCAACTTTCAAATGTGCAATACAATATTCACTATAGTCACTATGCTGTACATGACAGCTCCAAGATTTATAACTGGAAGTTGGTACATTTTGACTCTCTTCACTCATTTTACCCACCCCCCCAACTCAAAATTCTTAATTGACAAAGTTATAGTCCCATTTTTTTACTTTTCCGGATGCTAAGCTACCTGAAAATGTTAAGAAAACCAGTTTCATATATTCTATTTCTATACATTGTATGAAGTATTGGAATGGTATAACTATTTGTGGAAAACCATCAGATCTTCTTCATATAATTACCCTGAAGCTGTAAATTACACTGTAGTATCTGTCTGTCTCTGTTGTGTGTTTGCTTATAACTAGGAGGCTTAGAAATCAAGTGGCTGTAGATCACTTCTCATAAGGATAAAATAATGTCCAGGCATCAAGCAATGGATCGAAGGAAACCGATGCTTTCATAATTCTATTCTGTTGATAAGGAGAAATAGTTTTGAAATACTTTAAATAACCAAGGACAGAGGTAATTAATAACAGGTAACAATTTGTGGAGTGCTTATTATATACCATGCTGTGCAGACCATACTTTTCCCATTTACCTAATTTAATCCTTAAAACACAACGCTAGAGGTAGACAGTATTGTTACCTCCACTTCAGAGATGAGCAGACAGACCTGGAGAGAGGTCTAGATTGGAACTTGAACAGTCTGGCTCTGAAATCTCCACTCATAACCACCACAGTATAGTGTAGATTAGATTATAGCCAAACTAGTTAGTATCCCAGATGTAGTTACCAACACAGGTTTTACAATTTTTTTCCTGTTTTTAAAGGACCATTATTTGAGGGTAGAGTTGTTTGTTAAAGTACTGTTTTTACTAAATGTATCTCTAAAGAAAAGAATTTCCACAAAAAAATAACTTTGAAGTTTTTTAATGCATGAAAAGAACATTCCAGAAACAGAACAGGTATTGCCTTATCAATGATGAAGCACTATATAAAGCCCCTTCCCCACTTAGTAAATAGGAATATAATGTCAATAGATGTGAAAGGTGATCACTTTAGGATTAAATGCAAACCCCAAAGTTGTACGCAACATTCATATATGGCTTACTATCTCATAGCAATATTTTCATAACGATGTATATGACATTTATACTTATTGGTAAGATGCTTCTGACTCAAAAGTTAAACAAAAGTGCTAAAGAGGTAGTTTTGCCAATGCAAGGCGAGAAAAAGGCTTTACCTTGTTTTGGTTTTTTTCCCTCAAAAATCTGTAACCATTTCTTTTTTTCTTCTAGATCAGCCAGGAAGATGATGCTTTTAGAAGCCAATTCAAAACCCTCTAAGAACTGATTCCCCCAAGTGGACAAGGATGGTTTTGAAACTGCTCTGCAATTGCCCTTGGAAGGCTCCTCAGTGTTCTTCTCTCAGTCTTGGAAACGAAATAGCTTCTGGCTCAAACAAGACCTGTTAAGATCTGACCAGCAGTTGTAGGAATTCATCCTGTTTGTTTTCTCCTCAAATTCCATGCATGGTCTGGTCTGATGATGGTAACTTCTACAGTGACCCAAGAATATTGGTAGGTACCCTGTCATTGTAAGTCAGGGACTGCTTTAAATAAAAAATGTACATGTAAGTTGAAGTTTGAAATAAAAATTTGAAAAATTCTCTAGCTGGCCTGTGAAATTGCATGATGAGTAGTACAAGTGACTGCATGTAATGCCTGTTTTCAGCTGTGTTTCATCAAATCATCACAGTTTAGATTCTAAGGGAGTTCTGGCTTCTGACTGCCAGATGCCACATGCTGCTTTATCTGTATGAGGAGACAGGGGTGGGGAAGGTCTGCTGATATTCAAACTCTTTGACACCAGTCATTTGACCCTATGTACAAACTAGCTTATCCTATCCTTACAATGAGACATAAGCCCACAAAGAAAAGACAAGTTAAGTTTCAAGGGGCAACAAAACATTTGTCAATTCGCAAAGCTAGAACAGTCAGTTACCGGACAATGGTTAGGAACCACTAGAAACAAAGTGACATAATATTAATCAGGTATGACTTGTTACACATACGAAAGCATAAATATACAGTAAGTAAGAGGTGTATATGTAGCCCCAGCAGAATATGTACACGTTAGAGCCGCTGTGAAACCGAGCAGGAAGTCCTGTAGCATATCCCCAGCTAACAGCAGTTTCATCACACAAGTCTGAAGGTAACAGATGCTGAGAACAACAGGTGGTAACACTAGGCAGATATCCATAGATTTATCCTTGAAAATGCACAATGTGAGAAATAAAGGTCACAAGTGAAACAGCCCTTTGCCTGCTGAGCCTCTTCTTTCCCATAAATATGCACAAGTCTGTTCTCCAATGGTGGTCTGTGGCCTCACACCACTTGCCTCTCCGTGGTGCCAGGATCACTCTGTGCACACCGAGCCAAATCACGCTGTACATTTCCTCCTGCTTTCACTGATTCAGGCCAGGGGCTCCTGGCTTCACAGTCTCCAGATGCAAATCAAAGCATAAATAACAGGCCACGCTCATGGCTCCTCCTTTCACAATGTTACTGGGAACAGACACTGGTCTGAGCAGCACCAATGCCGCACACCAGTGTCCAGAAGTGGAGAGTAGCTTTGTGCACTTTTGCAAACACAAACCCCTGCCCCCAAATCCACCCTACGTGTCTTGTCTTTTACTGGTTAGCCCTGTCTGTAGCTAGGAAGACACTGTGTTGCTCCTGAGCTCTTTCTATCAGCTTCCTCTTCTTTTTCTTGTTGTTCTTCTCCTTCGCCTTGGGTGCCCTCTTCCCTACAACGGAGGAAAGAGAAAGAAATGAGGACGTGTCAGAAAAGGCTCTTTCTCTGGGAAAGAAAACACAAAACATTAAGAGTTTTACACAAAGCCCATCTGGAAAACATCACCTATGGAAAAAGCAGCCTCAAAGAGAAAATTGTTCACATTAATTTTGACGGAATAATAATAATTTACTAAATTGGATATGCTGTCTAAAACAGAGACTGATCTTCCTGCTACAGGGAACTGGCATATTTAAAAACCTCCCAGCAGCCTGACCAGTCTTGCAAATATCATCCTGCCACAAAAATTCCCTTTATCCCCTCCGACTTTTAACAATGCTACCCTTTACTAGACATCTTTATATCTTTCTACTGCTCCACATGTCAGGGGGTGGAAAGAAAATAAGCATTTATCTACAGTAAATATACCAGAAGTTTCAAGCTCCCCTCTCCCTGCCCCATGGGAAAAAAAAATGTCTTGCTCTTAACATTATTCCCTCCATGCTGTCCAAAGGCCAATATGTGAAATGACACATGTGGAATATTTCTTTATTTTCTATAAAAACTCATGAGGACTTCATTCACTATGTGGCTTATGACTTCTTATATATAAATCCCCTTGACAAGTTGTTCTTATTGAGAGTGAGAAAAATCCTTGTTTGTTTCTGAAGAACCGGTGGTATGTGTCTTACTACCAGGAAATCACACCACATCATCCTATTTCTCCTCTTTGCCTTAGCCCCTAGGAAGCCCAGACCACAGCTAAACAGTTGAGGTTTTCCTCCATCAGGAGTTTTTGGATAAAGTTTTCCCTTTGCCTCTGCTGTACTTTACTTATTCTATCTTGTGGTTATGTTTTATAGTCTTTATAAGGTCTCAACGTTTCTTTGCAAGTATGTATACATAAGATTGTGAGAAAACAAGAATAAGGAACATAGGCATTTGCTTTAGGTCCACTGCCCTCTTTGAGTTCTCAACACATAGGAATCATGGGATATTTAGAACAGAAAAGAGCTTTAAAGTTCACCTGCATTTTACAGAAAGTAAGTCATCACCATACACCTTCAGTATAGGAGGGTTCTTCCCCAGACTAGGAAGAATCCGACTATCAGCTATTCTTCCTCTCCTACCTGCCCTACTTCCGATTTTATCATGTAGTTCTACAAAACTTCAGTTTTCTCTTCCTGTGAGGTGTAGCTGTTAGCCACTGTAGTAATCAGTACCACAAATAGAACATTCAGTGGTCATCCATGCTTTCCAACCTTCCCACACATAAGAAACTCAACATCCTAGACCCTTTCATTACAGAGACATAGATGGCCAGCTTTTCAACCCAGACAATGGAGAAGGTAGCTGATGTAAGAAATGAAAAAGAAACAGATAGATAAATGCCTTCGGAACCAGAGACATAGTAGATTAAGAGAGGCTATGAGGTTTCTAATAAGGGAGGTGTTTCTCGTTTCTGCTCTTGCTGATCAGAAAGGGTCTCTTTTGTTTGAGGATGGAAAACAATCTCACTCGTAAGACTGTAGCACGTGGTTGGCACATAGTTGATATTCAAGAAGTGTTTGCTGAGTAAAACTTTATCACAAGAAAAAAAGATAAAAACCTATTTTTAATAAGACACTACAGTAAAATAATCAGAATATGATCATGCCCTCACATTAAATTATGAAGATCCTTTAAGTTACCTTCTGGTTCTCATTAAATTCTGGCATCAATGTCATAACGGCATTTTGCCATCTTTAAACATAGGTAATCTTACTCAGTGAAACCTTAGTCCAAGCCATCGTTAATCAAAGAAGCTGTAAAGTTACAATTATTTAGTAACATATCTAATGACGAGACACACCTAATGAGGGAAGAGGAATGAAATACTTAACATAAAATGGCGTATTTAAAAAGAAGCTTCAATTATAAAGTTTGTGAAGTTCTTAGTTCCATATTTTCTCTAAACAACAAGAAAACCCTAGTTAAAAAAATCATTACTGACTACATTGTAAAAATTAATTCAGTTTGATTTATTTAAAGCCTTAAGTTCTTTTTAAGAGCAAATTGAAATTAAGTGAATGGAAAAATAATGCTAACATTATTAAATTTTAAAATGTGTTAAGATTAAAAAATATACTGAACATATGTTATTTCAAGAAAGCTTTTCACATTCACCATTTCAATTCTTCATACAAATTACATAGTTGCAAGTTAAAATGTACACTACTCTAACAGAAAATCTATGCTAAATGACTGGAAACTCATTTTAAGAGGGTCAATTTTATGTCATTTACCTAATATATTACTCTGATATAATTGTCAATATCAAGCAGTCTTTGGGTTTGCTGGCTGGTAATATTGTGTGATAGGGAAGTTACTCAATATTTGCACAAAGTAGTTCATATTGTGGCCAAAAATTCAGCAATCCTTCTGAAAACTTATTTACAGAAAATAAGTTTTCAAATAGTATGCTTACATACAGTTTTCAAATTGTATGATTGGCAATAAGTTATATGGTACTGGTTCCAACTAAAGATGTTTTGGGAGACCTAATTACAACCCCAAAACTTTTCCTCAGAAATCTCTTTTGAATGACATCTCTGTGCTATTGCTTCATTGCTTTGTTTTCTTTTTGGTTAGCCCCATTTCTCATGTAGGATATATTGCAAATACCAAAGAATTAAGATGGTTAGCCAAGATCTGACCACGGATAGGCCTAAATTAACTGAAAATATTTTGTGGTCCATAGTAGGTTGTTTTGACTTTAAGCCCAACTCAAAGTAATAAAAGAATATTAAAACATAATCTAACAGAAGGTATAAAAAGGGTCTTGCACATACTTTCCTCCAAACTCGAAGATTTTTCAAACATAAGAAATCAATCAGTAAGATTAAAGCTAACAAAAACTATATATCCCTGTTTTTAGCTATGTATTTGAAAAGAAGTTATATTGGACATACAAGCATGCTACTTTACATTTCCACTTCTTTATATCTATGGATATGAGATTAGACTTGGAGAATGACTTCTAGACTTTCACCCTGTACAGGAAGCATTTCAATGCAAATATGATGCCAGCCACCCAAACAGTAACTCAACTCACAGATTTAACGTTCTTAGTTTTTAGTTCATAAGAGACGACTTGGAAAATATAGTGCCCAAGATCAGCAGAAAAGGTTTCAGTTTAATGACAAATTCTGCATATCTTAGTCCTGAATGTTTTAAGAATGCAGTGGGTGTGACAAACCACTACTGGGTGAATCTCTTCAAGATCAGGCAGAATCTGATCTACAGAGAAATCTTTTCAGTACTGTTCTATGAATACAAGAAGAAGACTGGCCCATATATTACAGTTATTAAGGAAAGCAATGTGGTTTAATAGAGAAAGGCCTCCTTTGGGAGGAAGGAAAGCTGGTGAGTTGGCACAGTCTTGTAACTGAGATGTCTGGTAAGGCATCATACTTGTGACTCTGTTTTTACATTTATAGAATGAAGATGCTATGATCATCTTTCATGCGAAGGTTATGAAACATGTGTGAAAAAGTTGTGTTTCTAGGATGAAAGACGCGTAACATATCCCTAGCAAGACAAGATTATCATCAAAATGAACAAAGTCAGAAAGATACTATCAAAGCCACACTCTAACCAACATAATTACATTGATTTGCACACATGTGGAAATTGTCCAACAGGATAACCTCTCAACCGTTCTACAGAGAAAGGTGAATAGTCCCTTATGGAAATACTCCTAACACGCAGCTGTAGATTACTGCTATTAAACTTAGAAATAGGAGAGATTATTTTGAACTAAGATATCAGGCAGACTCACAAATTACATGAAGCTGTAAAAATACTGACTCCACTGCCAGTCAGACATGAATTTCATTTTTTCATAAGCTCCCAAATTCAAGGAAGGTCTTCTAATGGTTTTTACTCTTACTAGGTTTAGGTAAGAGTCTTTTCGTCATTGGACCAATGGTTCTTGTACATCCATCAGTAAGGCACAAAGGTTGTCTAGGGTTTTCATAATGATTACTAAGAGTTTTGAGGAAGAATATCTAATGGTAAATACAATGAAAGGAAATTGAAGAAAAAATTCAGTAGCTGTGACTACCACAAAAAAGCTTCTCTCTCTTCCCCTCCCTCCACACACACTGGGGAAAGTAAGCCACAATTATGACAAATGTCATTAACTGTAATTACCATTGTTATAGCCACAACTACAACGACAAAGGTAATCACCTGAAACCAGGACCAATTTCTATTAAATTTTAATGATGTTTGAAACTTGGGCTTCACTGTATTTATGAAATTCACCATGGAGACTTGCGGATCATCTCAGAGAGACTCAGTCATCCTTTCAAGCAGCTAAAACTGAGGGAAAAGAAGCCCATGTAACCACCAACCGCATGAATCTTGCCATACTTCAGAGGACACACCGCAGGCAGAACATAAAACGTTGCTTCCACATCTAAAGTCACAAAGACTCAGTTATAGACAATGAATAGCAATTGGGCTATTTCTTATTCTCATATGGGCAACTTGAGTTTGCCCAAGAATGAGTAGCAACAGAGATTTGTTTATTTAAGAGTGATTGATGATTCTCTGGAAAAGTGCCAGCTGGTTCCTAAAATATCTTAAAAGCTCATATAAAAATAGACAAAAGACCTAAATACAATTCATAAGGGAAACAAAAATGCTAATAAATATATTAAGCAATTAAAACTGCCAAATAAAATGAGTTGTTATTGCAAAGGTTCTTAAAAGTGAAAATACCTAAAGCTAGTGAGAACGTGGTAAGACAGGCATCAGGATGCATTATGAGAATATAAAATTGATACAGCCTTTCTGAAAAGCTATCTGGCAATGTGTACAAAAGCGTTAAAAATATTCATAACTTTTGACTCAGGTCTAGGAATCTATCCTAGAAGAATAATCTAAAGTTGGACAAAAATTTATGCATAGAGATGTTTACAATAATTCTGAAAAAAAAAATTGTAAATTACCTAAATGTCCTACTAC